GTACAGCAATATGCAGATACGAAATACTACCCTCTTTTTTGCTGCTCTTTGCATTTGAATGTACAGGGTATAGAAGACAAACGCGACAGCAACCATGCCCGTAAAAGAAGGTACAGCAATCACGGCACGTTCACGAACACACAGAAGTGGAATGTATCATCGTTGATTCGACTACGCGAAGAGTGCGTGCCATACCCAACAAAAGCCGTCAAAAGCCCTCATAGCCTTAACACCGGGGTATCAATCGTCATATCATGCCACACCATCCACCCAGAAACTCCTTTCGCCAACACACAACCCATCATATACCCAAAGGACACACAATGCTATCGTGCGCAACCCAGAAACTCCTGTTGATGTAAGAATACGGTCCCTTTTTTCAGTACAGTGACGTGGCAATGCCTACCATTTGCGTGTGTACAACGTCAGGAACTCAGAGCGCCTGCAAGAAGTGATGAGCGTCTCTAGATGTCGTCTTGGATCTCGCCGCCTAACTCACTGTCAGTATTGTTCAACCAGGTCTCAAGGTTTTTGAGGTAGGAATACTCACCGAGACCGTCGCCGCCGTCGGCGGAGTCCTCGGCGGACTTGTCCTTGACGACTTCTTCCTCAGAGGCGGGCTCCTTCTTGGATGCCTTCTTTGGGGCGTTCGGGCCCTTGACGGGAACGCGCTTCTTGGTGGGTCCCTTCTTCTCTTTCTTGGCAGGTGGAGCCTTCTTCTTGGAGTCGGATTTCTCGGCCTCAGACTTGTCAGCAGCTGAGGGAGGAGCAAGGTCCTTGGCGCCATCTTCGGCATCTTCTTCGGGGGCCTCGGAAGCAGCCTTGCGCTTCTTTGTGACCTTGGCGGCGGCAGCAGGCTTGGAATCACCACCGGCAGAAGCAGGGGCGGCGACACCGGCTTGTCCCAAGTAGGCGGCGAACGAGGGATGGGCCTCGAGAGCCTTCTTCTTGACCGGGGGCCCTGCATGATGGAGCATCTCGTTAGCATAGGTCATATGCTACTAGTTTAGTAGTACTTACACATCTTCTTGAGGGAGCCAGCAGTGTTGCCCGTAAGCGTGGCCATGACGTCGTAGTCGAACTTTTCACGTTAGTATATGGTAGATATCATGTGTAATGTGACATACCTTGTCGGGAGCAGTAGAGCTCAAGAAGGCCGCGGCCAGCAGCTTGGTCTCTTTGTCCAAGAAACCGGAGAGCAGAGCCTCACCCGCAACGACCTCTTTCTTGGGAGGCATCTTGATGATGTAGGTGCAAGTGTTTTCGATTGAAGAAGAAAGAAGTAAGTTGCAAAGCTGGAAAAGAGAATGAAGGCGAGGGAAGTTGTAGGAAAAGAGAAGGAAGAAGGAAAGTTGTTATGAGGGAATAAATGTGGGGTTGTTATTGTCTCGTGGAAGAAGACGCAGTGAAGTCGGAATTCGCGCAACGTGCAAACGGGAAATTACCTCTAGGCTGTCATATTCGAGTTCCGACGCTCTCATTCGTCGAAGGATCGTCCTCCCACTGCTATTACCTGTTCGAGGTGAGGAAAAGTATGGTAGTGACGGGCAACATCAAAGTCATGTGTAGACCGCTTCGCATGGCCATGCTACGGTGACTACGATTAGGCCCTCACCAACGCAACTATCTAGTCTGGAGGTACTCAACACATTTTAAGTTGACTTTGCTCAAACTTGAGTGACGTGTATACCTTCAGAGTGTAGCAGGAATAGTTACGAATACCTTTGTGCTGGATTGAAACAAGAAATATGCCGCTCACATGGGAGGTCTTGTAGATATCGGCATGATAAGTTTCAGTTCAATGGTGTAAATACTTGGCTCTGATGATAGTGTGAAGAGCGAAAACAGCGATAAGAATACCCGGGTGCTCAGAATGAACATTGAATGCTTTGGAGAGTATCGAACCGGTTGTTGTGATGGAAAGAGAATTTGAACTGAGGAACGGCGAGTAACAGACTGGCAACCTACAGACAAGACAATAAGACACCTTTGGATTTGTCAGGAACGCCCGTTTGACGCGTGTTCTGGGCTTCTAATTTCCACATGTTATCGTCAGCTGTAGAGTTCACGATCCGAACAAAATGAAGCCGAGCGAGGGTTCCTTGGCCTGACAACGTTTCCCACTACGGCCATAACAGCGACGGGATATCTATCCTTCCGAGGCGAACGCAGCACCAAAGCGACGGGAGGCAATATCAACAATCAAGCAACGGACCGACCAACTCATCAGAACCGGGGATCGCGATGCGGGCATGATACGACGTCGCCTCTGGGCCCCACTTTCCGATGGAGCACACGCAGGCAGCACACGAATCGGGACTGTTGGCGAGCTGCAGGTGCGCAGCCGTTGCCAAGGTCTTGAGTCGACGTGTTGATATCTCGGAGCGGCGCAATTGAGGTTGAGCAATTCGGCGAGGAGGCTGCAATAATCGGATGACAGGCGTAACGTTGCGGTGGGGTGTCTGGCAGCACTACGGTGGCGCTTGAAGCGCTGGCTACGGCATGGTGGTTTACAGCGGGATGGTGGCTGGGGTAATGACAGGAGGAAGCGACATGCAGTCGGTTGGCAACGCTAGCAGTATGGCCGAATAGCCCTGAACATGAGTAAAGCGCCGGCCAGGAGGCGGTGCAGGATCGCGAATACGAGGTGGTGAAGCGGATGAAGTGGTTAAGAGACAGATGTTGCAGGCGTGAAGGAAGTGGAGGCTCATCCGGTCAGTGCAGACGTGCATGGCTAGACCGTGGTGCAAAGAGCGGTAGGCGGGCAGGCCGCAGCTTGGGTGGCATTTCTGGCGTCTATGGGCGGTCGCTGGCTGCGGTGCATGACGGTTTCGGTTCGAATGCGCGTCTAGACATGATCTGCGACCAGCGCTGAGCGGGCCGTGCCAGGAACAGGCGCAATTTTTGTGCGCACTGCCTGTCGGCGCCCGCGTCCTCGACCTGCGACGACGGGACCGTCGACGTTAGCCTTCCATTGCTATATTTCTGACTTGGCTGCTATTTCCCCTTCATCCCTGGGTGGCTTTCTTTTTTGTATAACACGCCTCATCGCACCTGCCGATCTGTCCATCGCTCCTTCCTCCGTCGACAGCAGTGCCCCTCAGCAGAGACATCCCCGCGGAGACACTCGCCAAACAACACCACGCTGCCGATCCATTCCTTCACACGCGTTGGCTATATATCGGCCCTTCTCAAGCACACAAGCCAAAATCCGGCGGGCGTCCATCACCGATCGCCGTCATGTCTTCCCACCCGAGCCTCACCAGCACGTACCGTGCGCGCGCCTCACTACCCACGACCGGGCCCTTGGCTTCATACCTGCTGAGCCTGATATCCGTCAAGCAGACGAACCTCTGCCTCTCCGCAGATGTCGAGACGTCGGCCGAACTCCTCCAACTGGCCGAAGATGTTGGTGACTCAATCTGCATGCTCAAGACGCACTGCGACATTGTCGTCGACTGGTCAGACAGGACAGCACAGGCACTGAGAGAGATTGCCAAGCGGAAATGGTTCCTCATCTTCGAAGACCGAAAGTTTGCGGACATTGGTGGTATGTCATGTTGGCTCGTAGCATATTCACTGGCGGGGCAGTCTCTAACACAGCACAGAAACCGTACAGAAGCAGTACACTTCTGGACACCACCGCATTGCGCTCTGGGCCGAGATCACCAACGCGCATGTCATTCCTGGCCCAGCCATCGTCACCGCGCTCGAGAAGGCTGCCGATGCCACCATCGCCAAGTACAACACGTCCGTAAACACCGAAATCTCTGCCACACGGCAAATCAACGGCCTCGACGACGATGATGACGAAGAGGACGATCAATTCATACAACAACAACGAAACTCGGCGATTGAGTCACCCATCGAGATGGAGGGCGAGGAGAGGCGGCTGAGCATCAAGGCTGCCGACCGCAAGCACAGCGTCGTCAGCGTGACAACCTCGATATCCATGCGCACAGAGAGCATATCGCCGCGTCCAGAGCCAAATGCCAACGGAGAAGAAGTCTTCAACTTGGACGTAGCAACAGAGCTCATCCGACTTGGTCCACCACCGTTCCTCCGGTCGCTTCTGTTGCTTGCCGAGATGAGCTCTGAGGGCCACCTCATGACACCCGAATACCAGAAGCGAACCGTCGAGATCGCACGCAGCCGTCCCGAGTTTGTCATGGGCTTCATTGCGCAACGAAGCTTGAACACAGAGCCAGAGGACAACTTCATCACCATGACACCAGGCTGCCAGCTCCCGCCGCCAGGCCAGGAAGGCAAGAAGCTGGGCGATGCTCTAGGCCAACAATACAACACTCCTCGCAAGCTAATCTTCGAGCAAGGATGCGACGTCATCATTGTCGGACGAGGCATCGTGCGCGCACAAGACCGCAAGGCGGAGGCAGAACGATACAGAAAAGCTGCTTGGTCAGCCTACGAGGAAAGGATCAAGAAGGCGTAGATGACTTGTCTATGCGCTATCTACTATAGCTGATATATACCCCTGCGATTCGCAGTTAGCATGCTGCCTGGAGCATTTGTGTACTTTGGTGCCTCTTTCAACTACAGAAACATCAGATACAGGACATTTTGGGGGCGTTGGAGGTCATTTCCACATACATGAAAACGCATAACACGGCGTTACGATTGCTGGCTCACGTATGAGAATACAACACCACCGTGCATGCACGCGGCATTGGATTACGATTTATGCTCCCAAGATGACCCAGATAACCCGTTGTGCTGCCATCACACATGAGCATGGCTTGTTGGCCAGTGGTATTTTCGAACAAAAATGTCATAACTTGCCTAGCAATGCCGCGTGTCAAAGTTTCGTGAAATCATATCCTGTCTATTATGGGTAATCTAGCAGCTGCGTCGTATCGCACATTCACGAGTGCCTACGTCGCGTGGGTCCAGGCGCGCGGAGATGTGTGGGGAAAGAGTCGGAGCTCGGTCCTAACGCCAAAAAGTTCGCGACTCTTCTCTCGCATGCGCATGCGACAGCTTCCATGTCACTTTACTACGAAGCCGCGGCGGTCCTCGCAAACACCGAGAACACAGGCGGGTCGCTCAAGTCGCGCATATACGGCAAGAAAGATCTCAAGAGCACACCAGGCCAATTGTTTGCGCTCATTGCGGAAACGTCAAAATGGTCCATTGTGCTCAAGGATGTGATTGAGAAGACCAAATTGCTTGCTGAGGAGAGGAAGGTGGGTAGTTTACTGGCAATATTCTGTGTCGCATCCTGATGTTAATGTGTTTTGAACAGCTTACGCCAATCCTCGCTCTCCTTCTTACCCACGATCTGTTGCTCGCGAAGAACGGTGTTGCTGCAGCCGCCAACCATGTCCTCAAACTCGCCATCACGAGACACAAAGCCCGTCTGAGCGCCGAGCTCACGAAAGCCCGCATACGGCACGGATACGCGACCATAGAGGCGTTTAGGGAGGCTGTGAACGATGGCGAGCTTGAGAAGGATGAGGGTGATGCGCCCAAGAGCCGCCATCCACGCTGGGTGCGCATCAATACCGTCAAGACGACGTTGCAGCAACAGCTATCGACCACATTTGCTGGCTTTGTCAAGACTGAAGATCTGAACGAAGTACTGTCTGCGCCTAAGAAGTCGAAGATATACTACGAAGATCCCAACATACCGAACCTGCTCGCCTTACCCTCTAAGATCGATCTGAGCAGGTCAATCGCGTACACGAAGGGACAGATCATCTTCCAAGACAAGGCTTCGTGCTTTCCGGCCTATCTGCTAGATCCGCAGCCTGACGATGGCGATGTTATCGATGCTACAGCGGCACCAGGCAACAAGACAACACATCTGGCAGCTATTGTATCTGACCGGAGGCGACCGGGTGAAGAACAGAAGGTCATTGCATTCGAGCGCGACAAGGGCAGAACTTTCACGTTGCAGAAGATGGTCAAGCTTGCATCAGCGGACAGCATCGTCCAGGTTAAGGGCAGTAGCGACTTCATCGCGGCAAAGCCTGGATCCGACGAGTATGCCAATGTCGGTGCTATACTGCTCGACCCCAGTTGCTCCGGTACTGGCATAGTTGGACGTGACGATGCAATCAAGATGCATCTGCCAGAGTCACCAAACAGTCGCCCAGCACCGCAAAAGCCAGAGAAAGGAAAGAAACGGAAGAGAGACGACGAGCCTAAGGAAGCTGACCCTACAGCGACGCTTGACTTGGATATGGATGAATCGACACCTGAAGAAACACCAATGCACGGCAAGCTAGCGGAACGACTGACAGCTTTGTCATCCTTCCAGCTCCACATCCTCAACCATGCTATGCGATTTGAGAACGCGCATAAGATCACGTATTCCACTTGTTCGATACATTTCGAAGAGAACGAGGGCGTTGTCTTCCAGGCATTGGCATCTTCTGTCGCAAAAGAACGGGGCTGGTCGATTCTCAAGAGAGATCAGCAAGTCGATGGGATGAAGAAGTGGCATAGACGCGGAGTGTGGGAGGACGAGAAACTGGAGATTGATGTGGATGAATCGTTGAAGAGTGACGTACTGGAAGCGTGCATACGGTGTGATAAGGGTACGGAAGAAGGCACAATGGGTTTCTTCGTTGCTGCCTTTGTCCGAGATGGCAGTTCACATTCGGCACCGATCATGGAAACTGCAGTCGCTGAAGTTGAAGATGAGGAATGGAATGGGTTTAGTGGTGATGAGATGGCTAAAGAGACAGTAAAGCCTGTGGAGACACTGGCAGCTGAAGGAACTGAGAAGCGGAAAAAGAAGAAGCGCAAACACTGAGATATATGAAAGAAATGGGAAGGCGCTCAAGCACTCATGGCAGAGGAAAGGGCAGCTGATGCCAGGACCCTCAGACCTTGAACCAGTACGAAAGCCACCCTTTCACTACACCACTCAATACACTGGCCGTACCTATTCCTTCTCCGCCAAACCCTTACCATTATTCAATGCAACACGGCTCAACATCTTACCTCAACGCACCAGTGCCAACACCATGACACCCGCCCTCCGTGACAGTCTTTCCAGCCCCCTAACCATATCCACAACCCACACCGCCGCCACATTTCCCGTCACACCCCCCGTCCACCCTGACCTGTCCCGCCCTCGCCTCAAACAAATAGCCCGCTGGATCCGCGACGAACTCGACCTCCGCGTCGCCCGCGACGGCCCCGACGTCCTCCGCCCAGACGACGTGCTAACGCTCCACGAAACCCTGGTCGCCCTCCGCCAAGCCCAAAACATCACCATCTCCGTCCTGCGCGCAACCGGTATCCACAAAGCTGTGCAAGACGTTGCGGGCGTGGCGACGCGGTGGCCGAGCAGGTTGTGCGACGACTGCGACAAGATTGTAGACAGTTGGACGGCGAAGTTTGGGCCGTTTAGCGAGATTCATCCGTTTTTGTATGGGAGGGGGGGCAGGTTGGAGGGGATTGCTAGTGTGAATGAGTATTCTAGGGAGGCGTTGCTTAAGCGCTGGGCGGAGACTTGTCCGGAGAAGATTCATCCGAAGAGGAGCCATAAATTGGGGGATTTGGGGTTTGTGGCTGGGACGTAAGTCGATGAAACGTTTTGCTTGGAGAGACGAGCAGATGGACTGATGTTTGTTGTAGGTGGTGGATCAATCCTCTGTTCGCACACCATGCTGGCATCATCGGTCTTGAAGCTTGCGATGGCGGTACGACATACGACAAGCATGGTGCATATGCTCTTCTACTCAAAGATACGGGCGAGATTGAAGCCTCGTCTGAAGAACGCTTTACCTATCGTGTTCCGCAGAACGACAAGGGTAAGTTCCGTCTTACCTCTGCTACACCCAAGAGCCGAGATCCTGTGAGGGTACTTCGCAGCCACAGCATCAACAGCGTCTGGGGACCAAAAGCAGGTGTGAGATACGAAGGCCTGTACAGCGTCCGAGGCTGGTCCATCAAGCAAGCCAAAAGCAGTAACCTTGCTGGTGGGCAATGGAAAGAAGGCGATATCCTGTTCGACGTCCTGTTTGAGAGGACCGACTCAGTGCCCATGGCGGTAGTCACCAAACGACCCACCGCAACCGAAGTCGACGACTACGCCGAATACAAGCGTCTCCGCAAAGTCAACCGAGACGGTAAACGCAAGTCACACAGCACACTTCCCGTAGGCGGCGCCAAAAGCGATTTCTCAACCCCACTCAAGACAGCACCACCAGTCACACCGCACGTAGTCCCCAAACCCCTCCCCACAGAACTCCCATCGATCGAATCCCGCAAAGGCATATTCAAACACCTCCACTTCGACGAGGAAGCCCACGTCCACGTCCTCGACAAAGAAGACGTCATATCCCCCAAATCCGTCCCCGAAGCCGACCCCCTCACCACCACCGCTACAATGAGCAAAAGCAACACGCTTCTCGTCCCCGCAAAACCCAGCCGCACAAACACACACAGCAAAGCCGATGTATCCACAACAGGCGGCGAACCGCGCAGACACGCCAGTCCCGCGGGTTCAAACGCCAGCAGCGCCCATACCCATGCCTCAGCTACCACTTTCCCCGGCATCAACATCCGCGAAGTCGCACCGTGGATCGACTACGACGCTGACTTGTCCTTGCCCTCGCCCCCGGAAGACTCGACGATTGTGCACCAACGACCTATTATTACTCAGTCTATCGCTACGGACTCTATCAAAACGAATATTTCAAGGGATACGTTTGGTACGCCCGTGGAAGGGGATACTTCGAGTCCGGTTGGTGGTGGTGGTAATGGGAATGGGAATGGGAATGGGAATGGGAATGGGAATGGGAGTATTGATGGGGGCAGGCATGGGAGGCGGGGAGATGCCGAATTTGGGGATAGTCTTAGTCCGCAGGGACACGGACATGGACATGGACTTGGACTTGGACTTGGGGTGGGGAAGAAGGACGGAGGCAAGAGGAAGAGCATTCTTGTGCGGAATCGGAATCCGGTGGGGAGGTTGTTTGATGGGGTGGTTGAGGATGATGACGGGGAAGAAGAAGTAGTGGACGAGAAGGCAGGGAAGTGGAATTTCCCAACGACATCTCCTGTGTTCCATTCCTTCGCCGACATTACCTCCCTAGACGATCCTTTCATCGCGAATCCTCCTCCACGCATACCACGACGACCTAGACGCCCCTACTTGATGCGTAGGGATCTCATCGCGCGATCTAGGATCCTAACGCCTATTGGCAGTCCTGTCTGCATCCTTCATCCTGAGCGCCTAGGAGGAGTACAAAAGGAACTCGCTGAGTCAAGCGCAGAAACCAAGTTGAGAGATATCATGGAGAGGGTGGATGGTGTTGAGATGATGGGTCGTTGGCGGCATATCTAGAACACTCGAAAAATCCTACTATTATCTTCATGGAGATGGAGATTCATTCTCTCTGCACAGTGACAAACCGTGTCGATCTATATACATATACGTTCGGCCTCTATTCCTACTCATTCACATCTCCATCTCTAATTCTCACGCACAACGTCACGCCCTTACCTTAGTACCTTAGCGCAAGTACACACATCCAACAGTACGAGGGTCCAGTTCAATCCAGTCCAGCCCATCCAGCCCGTCCCAGAGCCCGCCAGGCCAGGTCACTGGAACCACATGCATTAGCGTCTCCGCTAGACAGTCCCGCTCGCCGCTTGCATGCACCGGTCCCATCAAAATTTTGCGCGGCTGTGCTGCGCTTAACTACAAATGACGTGTGGGTCAGGTTCACTAATCACTAATTGAGATGGTCCCGGTATTGGCCGACGAGGAAGCGCCGGGGCCTGATGGGGGCGGAAATGGGAACATAGAGCCTGCTTGCGAGGTTTGTGGACTTTGTGGGCTTTGTGGAGGTAGTGACATATCGTGAACATGGGACTGTGATGGGACTGTGGAGGCGGCGCGTGCATGGTGCCGTTTTTTCCGCGGGTCCGATGGTTAAGCTTTTTTTCTTTGCAAGCGTAGAGATGAGGAGCTTGACGTCAAGCCTGTGAAGTCATAGTTATGCGATCGCTTTGGCTAGGCAATCAACCATGGAGTTGTTACTTGGATGCTCAAAGAATGAATTGGGGTATCGAATTTGCTATTGCGGAAATATACATGTGGGTCAATGTTCGCTTCGGATGTGGGTAGCGAGATAGGAGACGGCTCATTCATCTCTTCCACCTCTCTTGTGTTTCATCTAGAGTTCGATGGAACTTAGCGACTAGCCATGCTGGCTCTCCTAGCCTCGAGGACAGCATCCTCGTGCGTAGGTGGGCCCTCGTAGTTCTTCTTTCCCCAGACGAAGTACCAGATAGTTGAGATGACAACGACGGCGGCAAGGACGACGGAGGCGTAGTTCATCGACGCAGGGGTGACTTCGCGGAATGTGGGCATGCAGAAAAGAGGAGTTGCAAGAGCGGACCAAGCTGTTTTGATGTTAGTGAATGCGCTGTGACAATGAAAAGAGATGTAACATACCAAGTGCAACGACGTTGCAGAACGTGCCGAGCATGCCGAGATGGAACGCGCCATCCTTAACCTGCTTACGGCCAGTCATGAGCGAGACAAAGATAGGTGCAGCGTAACTCAATGTCAAGCAAATGACACCAACACCGGAGAAGGCGTTGAAAGCGGCGGCAGCACCGAAGTAGATGAGACCGAGAGCGATCTGGACCACCATGCTGAGCATCATGGCGTTGACTGGGACATCGAGGTTGGTGTTGACGACCCTCCACAGCTTGTAGCCGGGAATGGCACCGTCACGAGAGAAGGCCCAGGTAGCGCGAGACGCAGCTGTCGTGCAGCCGATACCGCAAAGCAGACCGAGGACGAGCAGGGGAACAAGAAGTCCGATGGCACCAGCGGAGGACCCTACGGCTTCCTTGATGATGACAGGCGTAGGCTGGCCGGACAAAAGGCCTGCGAGCATGGCTTGGTCGGGCAGTACGAAGACGAGAGGGATAAGAAAGACGAGGCCGGCAACGGTGTTGAACGCGACGGTCGCGACCATGGCCTTGGGGACTTGAGTGGCAGGTTCGCGAACTTCTTCGCACATGCTACGAATGTGTTAGCGTTTGGACAATTGTTGTTAAGAGTTACCGCTTGTAGACACGTATAATGTCGCGATGGAGTGTGTTGCTTGGGATGTCGCTTAGGAAATGTCGCATGGGATAGTCGCTTGGGAAAGTGCATTGGGCAAGGAAAATCTGCTGCAAGTTGCTTGGGCAGAGTAGGGGAGGCTCACGAGATGATCATTCCGGTCGATGAAGTCGCGTAGGCTGCGTGCAGTAATCCGACCATGAAAGACCATCCTGGGATCCATCCGGAGTTGGAGGGGTCGAATTCAGTGAAGACGTATTCGGCGCTGTGGCGACCATTTTTCGCAATGGCAAGGATGCAGACGATAATGGCAATCACACCAGCAAAGGTCCAGAAGATGGCAAATGTCTAGATATCTGTAAGTAACACATCCGGTAGCCGTTTTGGGGGAATCTCACATCCAACCATGGTAGGTACTTGTTTCCAAAGGCAGACACAGCGTTGCAAAGGAGTGTGATGCCAAGGAAGATAAGGAAGACCTGGTAGGGTGATCCTTCCATGATACCAACACCAGGTTCGCTTTCGTAGACATTGACGCATGCCACAAGGAATAGCGCGGTAGCAAAGTTGACGGACAGAGTAATGGTAATGTTGCCAACTACGAAACACCAGCCACAGATCCACGAAGCGATTTTCCGATAGGCGGGCGGCGTGATCATGAAGGTCTGGTAGTAGACACCACCACTGGTCGGGTAGACACTGGTGATCTCACCAAGGGATGCGGCGACTGCGAGAATGATAAGCGATACGGCGAGCCATCCCCAGATGATGTTGGTGGGACCTCCGCCAACTACAGGGTAGTAGAGGGTGGTAGCCAAGCCGTAAGGGACGGAAGCCAGGACAAAGGACATGAAGGCCACCTGGAGAGTGGATCGTGATCGAATCAGTTCCGACTTGTAGCCCATGGCAGCCAGAAGGTTGTCGGCATCAGCGGGAACGACATCGTCTCCGGATCCGGAGTAGGTGTTGCCCAGCTTGGTCTCTTTCTCGGGCGCGCCGTTGCGCAGAGAGTGGTCGTGCTCAGCGGCATACGCATCTGACTGCGTGCCGTACCTGTAGTCGGACATGAGGGGCGTGTCGCTTTGGTCCTGGGTCTGGGGGCCTGAGAGAGAAGGAGAGTTGGGGAGTTGTCGCAAAGCAAAGCTCTGGGACATGTCCCCAGCGGCGGATCAGCGCAGGCTTTGAAGGGCTGCAGAGGCACGTCAGTCGGCGCATGGTCCAGGCCCGCTAGCCAGCATGTAGACAAGTCGCCTTAGACTACCCACCCGAATTTCAGATGGCAACAGACGCGGAGCTTGGCGGGCCAATTGGTGGTGGAGGGTGGCCGGATAGGGCTGTTTTACTGCGCCGAGAAAATCACCGACTGAGTGGGAACTACAGTCTAATGCATCCGCGTTCCGTCGCCTAGGTGTTGAGGTTTTTTCTAGAAGTGGGCCAGAAGCTGAGCCGCCGTGTGCCGACGAGTAGCCGGCGATGAAAGGACCCTGACGTGGTCTTTGGAGGTGCGCACGTTGCTGAGCCTCACTCGGCTGTTGCAGAGTTTGCAGGGCAATCGCAGTGAACGCGTGGGGTGATGTTACTTCCATTGCCAGTTGCTGGCTTGCGCGCCAATGGGGGTCGCCGATGGCTCGAGATTGGCGTCGTAGCGGGCGTCCAGCGGGCGTCCATCTCGGCACACGATCCGTATTCGTGGGTAGAGTCCGGGGCACTGGTCGCGTGTGCATAACGCGCTGAAAAACACATGGGAAGCGTTTGCGGAGCCAGCCCGGATATCGAGATAGGGGTGAATGGAGATGTCAGTGTCGGCATGCCAGAGTGGAGTCGGCTTTTGATGCTGCAACTGCCCAGCGCCTTCCCCTCGCTCCTTCGCTCCTTCCGTTGACGACGCGCCCTAACATGTCGCATGCGGCAGTAGCGGACCCAAACCCAAACTTGGCAGCATGAGGCGTTCCATCGCAGCATAAAATGGCGATAATGGGCGTCTGGAGCAGCGCCAGCCTTGCGCCGAGTGCTGTGTAACTGTGTCGCCATGCATCACGAGATTGTAGCTCTCGAGGAGCATCAGCAGCCCCTCCCCATCCACGGATTCACCTTCCCAGCCTCCACAACCCACAAATTGACAGCGTACAAGACCACCTCGACTCGTGAAGAGCTCCACTCGCGCATCCACGATGCAACGATAATAATTACCACCGCCATTAAGCTTGATGCCGAAACATTGCGCCCCAGTGTTACTCCGAACCTCCGCTATATTGCCATATCCGCGACCGGAACAGACCCTGTGGACCTGGACGCCTGCCGGGCCCGCAATATTCGCGTTACAAACTGCCCGGGGGCCAACCTCGACGCGGTTTCGGAACATGCCATAAGTCTATACTTTGCGTCCAGAAGGCGCACCGTCTTGCTGGATCACATCATTCGTGCGGACCCCAGCGAATGGAAGACGGCGGGTAGCGTGAAGGACTACATGCGCCTGCCGGACGGCATGCCTCCGATGACCTGCAGAGATGAGGTTATGGGCGTTATCGGCTATGGGGGCATCGGTAGGTCTTCATATCCTAATCAGGATGAGAAGTCCAGCGCTGACACGGGGTGAAAGGCAAGCGAATAGCTGCGCTAGGGCAAGCATTGGGCATGCGCGTACTTATCGCGAGTCGAAAGACACCAGCGACGCCTCCCGTAGACACCGGGCTCCCAGCCCCTGACGCCTCTGACGACCGCATACCCTTTGACGATGTGCTCCGCAACTCCACAGTCCTCGTCCTAGCTCTGCCGCGAACCCCCGAGACGCTCAACCTCATCTCTACTCCCGAGCTCGAGAAGATGCATCCGTATACCGTCATAATCAACGTCGCGAGAGGCGGCATAGTGCACGAAGCTGCTGTAGTGCAAGCCCTGAAGCAGAGGCGCATAGCCGGCTATGCGACCGACGTATACCAGGTGGAACCACTTGGTGGACCTGCAGATACCCCGCTGCTGGAGGAAGACGTCAAGGACCTTAACATTACCCTGAGTCCGCATGTGGCTTGGTTTTCGACAACGTCGATCAAGAACCTTGGTGAGATATTGAAGGCGACTGTAGAGGGCATGGTGAGCGGCAACGAGATCAATGCCATTCTGTAAACGGAAGATATCGCAAATGGAGGAACCCCGAGCACGAGCACATATACCCTCGTGGGGTACCTTCATCATCAACATTGACGTCCAAAATCCAGTGAGAGTTGCAAGCACGTCTAACACCTGACCATGTCCACAGCAAAGGC